GGAGTGGCCTAGCCAGTCTCCAGACCTGAATCCAATAGAAAATCTTTGGAGGGAGCTTAAAGTCCATGTGGCCCAGCGACAGCCCCGAAACCTGAAGGCTCTGGAGGAGATCTGTATGGAGGAGTGGGCCAAAATCCCTGCTGCAGTGTGTGCAAACCTGGTCAAGAACTACAGGAAACCTCTGATCTCCTTGTAACTGCAAACAAAGGTTTCTGTACCAAATATTAAGTTTAATTTTTCTGGTGTATCAAATACTTATTTCACAATCACTCACAGTTGAAGAGTACCTATGATAAAAATTACAGTCATCTACAAGCTTTGCAAGTGGGAAAACCTGAAAAATCAACAGTGGATCAAATACTTCATCTCCCCACTGTAGTAAATTACTTTCTTTTAGCTACAGCAGCCATCTTGAATTTTATTTTATTTTTTCAGATTCAGTATGTGATGGGGATTGTTTTCAGTTTTCACCACACCAAACGTCACCCCAATATGTCTTAAAATGGCAGAGTTATAGACATTTAAAATTAGAACAGATGGCCATCTTGAATTTTTATACCACCTTTTGAATTTGTTAAAGATTGCACTCAGCTACTACAAGTTTTCAGCTCTCCATGTCTAAACTTCACAATGCATTCCTCTGCTCCAATGCATTTTAGTTGGCAAGTCCAAATTAGCAAAACTGTAGCGAAAATAATAAATTAGCAAGGTAGTAGGTAGAGGCAAAGAGCAGCAAAACAATAGCTAAAATCAGAAAACAGTAGCTAAAAGTTAACATTAGCAAAATGGTAGCTAAAAGCTACAATTAACAGAACAGTAGCTAATAGTTACAATTAGCAATAGTTGCTAAAAGCTAACAATCAAGCAATTATGTTAAAGGAAATTTTAAAGAGAACAAAGATTTTTCTAATGTTTAAATTAAATATTACAAAAAGTATGAAAGATAATAAGGTCAGAAGTCATAATGTCTTTAACGAGCTGAACATTCTGGTATATGGTGAAATACCTAAACATATTCTGAAATACTTACAGTCCAAACTACATACAGAAGAAGCAACAAACAGGAAATAAACAGTGTGAGTTATGACTCAGTGTTCACACAAGTAAAAAAAAAATGGTTTGAAATGTTTGGGCTCTGTACCTGCATGCAGCCTCCTGGACTCGCTTGTTGCTATCCAGAATACGTTTGAGCAGCTCAGTCATTAAAGGCTTCAGGTAAATATCTGGAGGCTGGCTGACAACCCAGTGAGCGTAGCGACTCAGTGTCCAGCAGGTGATGGATCGGACCAGAGCTTTTTTATCAGACAAACACTGAACGAGATGTGGGATGAGCTCAGGCAGGTACGGGATCATGCCCTGCATACAGCCTGCAGAAAGAACAAAAGTTTCAGTTTCAGCAGGTATTTTCTTCTAATCTTTTTTTTACCATTATCTTCATGTTTCCATTTTTACCTTCAGCTATAGCTCCCAGCACCAGGATACCAGACTCTTTAACGACCCACTCACGATGGAAGAGCAGCTCTTTGAGGAGGGGCAGAATGTGCAGCAAAAGATCATCCCTGAACACATTAGCCAACACGTCCAGTGCTGCTGCAGAACACTTTCCTAACATCACAGAAAACACATACAGACACAGAAATGTGTCAAAAAAAATAAAAATCCCACAACAAACATAAATACAAGAAAACAGAGGAAAAACAAAATTCAACAAGTTCCTTCCAAGCACTCAGAGAAGTTTATTAACAGGGCTACTTTAGGGCAGGCATCAAACTCACGCAGGTTCCAGTCAGAGATGGTGTCGTCATCATCTAGTTCATCATCCTCATCATCGTCTTCCCCAATCCCGTCCCCCTCATGCTGCTGGGCGACTGTACGGGAGCGATGGAAACGAGGTCTGATGTCTTGGTCATTGTCTGGAATGGCCTCATCCTCCTCAATGTCACCCTGAGGACAAAGGGTTCAAGTCTTTAAGTCACCTAAAAGAGAACTGGACTTTGTTTTACATTGTTTTATAAGTCAGGTGAACCTGAATTTATTTATTTGAAAAAAAAATCTATTAAACACATCTCAGATACACTGGTAATGTCTGGACAACCTAATTCACCTGCATGTCAATCTGATACACTGAGCAATTCATCACTGTACTTCCAGGTACACATATCATGGTTAATAAACTAACCTTGAGCAAGATTATGTCGATCTCAGAGTACTTCATCCCGTTGATGAGCACAGGAATGAGCCTGGAGTAGAAACCAGACATAAGACCATGTGAAACAAGTGGAAAGGTTAGGCAGAAGCCCATGGGCAATCATTCACATCTGATTCTGAGTTTGGGAATAGTTTAATGTGGCAGTTTAGTGACTGAAGTTACAGCTGGGGTCAACAGCCACAGAGTTTCTTCCTTATCGGTCACAGGCTGATGAAGAATATCATTCTGCAGCAAGGTCTACACAAACAAACTGCTAAGGCATCTATGAATCAACTGCATTATACAAACTGGGAGCATTCTTACTGAGAGAGGTGACCGCAGAGCACGTCCTTGCACACTGGCTGCTCTGCTAAAGTAAGCCAGAACTCACAGGCCTCCAAGGCAACATTTTCATCCTGGTCCTGAGTCCTCTGAAGCATGTACTGCAACAAAAAAGGAGCATTAAACAAAGCATGTGGCCAGTTTACATTGTCGTGGCACAGCCTTACCCGGGTCTTTAAATTGGGTGGTCCCACACACTTTCAGCCATGTTCTTAGAAGAATCAAGCTGACATTTTTAGAACATTCTCACCGCAGCATTTATTTTTGTCATTGAGACAACACTCGACCAGCCTACATCCAGGCAATTCTCGACCCGCCTACATCGAGGCAATGCTCGACCCGCCTACATCGAGGCAATGCTCGACCCGCCTACATCCAGGCAACGCTCGACCCGCCTACATCCAGGCAACGCTCGACCCGCCTACATCCAGG